CTCAGCACCAACAGGTCCGCCAAATCCGCAAAAAAATGGTGGAAATCATGACACGTGAAGTACAAACAAATGACTTGAAAGAAGTTGTCAATAAACTGTAGGTGGATTTTTTTTTAATCTATGTTTAGTAAGATAGTCTTCAATGGCATGCTACCTTAGAATTTATGCAGTAGTCCTCGACTTCATTTACTGACCATTCAAAGTTACAACAGCACTGAAAAAGTGACTGATGACTTTTTCATACTTATGACCATTCACATAGTCATATGATCAAATTTTAGACACTTGGCAACTGACTTGTATTTATGACTGTTACAGTGTCCAGGGGTCATGTGATCACTTTTTTTAACCCGTCAAGCAAAGTCAATGTGGAAGCTGGATTCACTAACCTTGTTAGTATGTCTATGAAGATTCTCAGTCATGCGGGTCATGGCTGTCCCAAAGGTGCTTTTTCAAGAGGCAACTGGACTTTTGGGGTTTTTCTTCAAAGAGGTTTTGCTTCTCATCCAAGAAGCTTCTTCAGCTCTGACACCACCATTTCCTCATCATCCAATCAGAGCTGAAGAAGCTTCTTGGATGAGAAGCAAAACGTCTTCAAAGAAAAAGCAGAAAGTCCAGTTGTCTCTTGAAAAAGCACCTTTGGGGCAACCTTGTTAGTAACTTAACAACTGCAGGGATTCACTTAACTGTCCAGAAAAGTTGTAAAATGTGGCAAAACTCACTTAACGAATGTCTCACTTAACAACAAATTTTTAGTTCTATTGTTGTAAGTAGAGGACTACCTGTAATCTATTTTTTGGATTTGCTATTCATATTTATTGTTAAAAGTGTTTTAGATTTTGTAACAATTCAAGTAATTGTGTCCCTTTTAAAGAACTGAAAATTTGTATTTCTGATGATTATTTATAAGATTAGATTTGGGTGAATTTAGTGGATATTCTCTAAGGCAATGGTTTAATAAAATAATTAAATTGACTGGTTTCACTGCCACAGCATTCTTAGCCAAGGCAAAATAAATTATGCTATAATAAGATGTGCACATTTTTTTAATATTTTATTTAACCGCACATAGGATCATTCTCATTGCCTTGCTTCAGGCTGGGGTAATACATAATCTGGTTTGTTTGTTTTATATTAATGTGTAGACATTGTTTATTCAGATTGTGGATACATATTGTACAAACCAAATCATTGACACTTTAATATTCATATGAATAAATTGATTATTTGTGAATTCCGAAGGTTAGGTTCTAGTTTATGATAGATTGTTTTTCTTTACCTCACAAATTTGCTTTAATCTATGCCATAGTCACTAGCAATTCTGCAGTTTTTTGTCAACATTCTAGTTTGGAAACTTCAAAATAAAATATTTCTTTATAATTCTAGGATTCCAGACAGCATTGGTAAAGACATAGAAAAGGCATGTCAATCAATCTATCCCCTTCATGATGTCTATGTTCGCAAAGTCAAAATGCTTAAGAAGCCCAAGTTTGAATGTAAGTATCTGTCATTGAAAGTGCTATGTTAACATTGATTATGTTTACTTGAAATGGGAATGAATGATGACACTTTGTTTCGGTCCCAGATGAAGAAATGATTACTTTATCCTAATACTGACATTCCCATAAAACACAAGGATATTTTTACTAGTTTTTTGTAAGCTGTATAATGAATAAGTGAATATTTTAATAGAAAATATAGCAACATTCCTTTAAAATGTAACTCATGGAATTACATATATTAATTTACATCCTTAATTATTTGCAGTGGGCAAATTGATGGAACTGCACGGTGAAGGTGGTGGTGCTGGAAAACCATCTGGTGATGAAACTGGTGCCAAAGTAGAACGAGCTGACGGATATGAGCCCCCTGTGCAAGAATCTGTTTAAAACCAGATACAAAATAAAAGACTTCATATAAATAGTGTGGTAATGTGCATTTTTATGGAATAGTTACTTGTATTTTGCATTCATGCTACAATTTTGCTAAGCTACTTTGGCTGCCAATTGATCCACTGATGAAACTAGAATTGGTGAAGATGTATATTTTATTTCATACAAGTTTTGCAATTTGGGTAATATGAATAATGTTCAATAACACTCTAAAAAGCACACATTCAGGCTGCTTTGGATTTTTTTCGTGCTTGGTTGTTTTTTAAAGATCCAGGTAATAGTGCGCCAAAGCTAAATATTTTTAAAGGTAATCTGCATGTATATTTGTTATCAGTTTTGGTTATTATAGGTTTTAGAGCATTTATAATTGTGATCAGGCCTCTTCTAGTCATGCAAAAGTATTTAATTTTCTATGCCATCCATTTCACTTAATATAGCAACTCTTGAGTATCTTACAATATAATAGTTAAAAAGTGAAAAGCAAAATAGAAAAAAGGATTAATAAGTAACAAAATGATGGGCAGCCCGGGTAAGGCTCTTTTCCTGTCAGCTGCCCCCAATATAACAGGGTCCCAGGCAAGCAGCAGAGACAGGTTTTTAGACTCTTCCGGAAGTCTAGGAGTTTGTGGGCAAATCTCTTCTGATGGGAGAATATTCCAGAGAATAGGGGACACGGTGGAAAAGGGTCTTCTCCTGGACCCTGCCAGCTGAAATTCTTTGGCCGATGGAATCAGAATTGTGCCCTTTCCACTGGAACAAGTAGGGTGGGTTAGTCCCATTATGTAATTTCCTTGGAAAGCCTGGTCCCATGCCATAAAGGGCTTTAAGGGGTGACCCAACACCCTGAATTGGACCTGGAAGCAAGCTGGCAGCCAGCGCAGCACATTTGCATTCTGGACCATCTGTAGCTGCTTACTACTCTAAGGTTAGACCCATGAAGAGCATGTTGAATAATTGACCCAGATGACCAGTATATGAGTGAGTGCACAAAAGTTATAGCTAATGTACTCAGCTGTAACTACTGATCTTTTATAAGAAGTATAACAATATGGACTAAGCACTATGTTACACTTCTCTTTTTAAGTTTGCAAACTTTAGTGCAAGCCCCACCCTCCCATCCACAAAAATGTTCAGTAAAGACATGCAAGGCTATTGAATGTCATGAATTAAGTAGAAGATTGAATTCCTGAAAATCCACGGATAATAAATACTGGGTGTATCAAGAGGCTTCTATCCAATCATCTCATTCCGTACACCAATGCAGAAGCCTCCAGGTAGCATGCCATATGGTTTTATGTGTTTTAAGGAGGGCAAGAAATACTTAAATTTCATTCCAGCATGCTTACCATAAGTATTTAAAACATGGCTAGAATGGGCTACAGCAGCTGTTCTCAACCTGTGGGTCGCAACCCCTTTGGGGGGTCGAACGACCTTTTCACAGGGGTCACCTAAGACCATCGGAGCTCTTAAATCTTTAGACTCCAAAGTGTGCTGTCACACTCTTTCATGCACACACCCACAAATACGCAAGTGCACATGCAGGGAAGCAGAAGAAACGCAAATGTAAAAAAAAAATTGGGAGTCTATATGTCTGTGAGGGGAGTTAGAAATCTCAGTTGCACTTCTGGCCCTTTTAAAAAGTTTGTGTAAATTGGAATGAGGTCAGATTTGGAGCTTCTCATTGCACACGGTTATTGGGTTCCAAGCCAATCAGAGCCGAGGAGTGGGGTTTTGACATGATGGAGCGTTGAATACAGCCTATGATTGGCTTAGAAAAGAGCTGAGGAAGGATAAGCTGCAACAAGAGAAAGTGTGTAGAGGGGCGGGGGGAAAAGCCAAGTCTGTAGTCCTGGTTTGTGCATG